CAGTAAGCCTTCTTTACATCCGAACTGATACAATTAAAAAGTTCCGATGCTTCATTCTTAAAAGCCCCTTCATTGTTTTGCTCCCCTACCAAAAGTTTCACCACACCGCCTAGTTTTGGATTAGCCTTCCCGATGCAATCAATCAGCTTTACAAGTTCTTCTCGAGGTGTATGCGTCATCACATTCAGAAGACAACCACAAAACCGATCATCAGGAGTTATCCCCAATTCATAAACCCGATTAAACGTCTTCACAACATCATCGGTTCGTTGGGCTTTCCCATAGCATTGAATAAGTGATGTCAAAACAAAAATGTTGGGTTCAAAACCCGCTTCCAACATATCATTCAAATCCCTCCACCTCTGAAACTTTCCCACTGCAAGAATATATGGTGATAATTGATGAAAAAGTCCAACTGTCAGGCTTGCAAGTCCCACAATTTTTCATGTCTTCGAAAATTTCGGCAGCTTCATCTGCCAAGCCAACATCAGCACACATGACCAAAAGGGTATTGTAAAGGACAACAGTCAACTCCAACCCCTTGTCTTTCATCTCTTTATATACATTAAGAGCATCCTCACCATACCGAGCTCTTCCGTAAGCTCGTAAGAGTGAAGCATAGGTTGCCCAATTCGGTGAAAATCCATTAGAAATCATCTCTTTGTAAATAGACTTGGCCTGCCAAGGTCTCTTGGCTCTACCCATGGCATCCAACAAAGTATTATATATGACCGTATTAGGTTTAGCACCTAAGACCTTCATTTCCTCGTAAACATTTAAACAACCGTCCCGTGTATCTTAATCAAAGTTGAAAAAGTAACACAGTCTATCCTCCATTTTTCCGTTCTAGTACGGTCATACAAGGCGAAAGCCATATCAACATTTCCAGCACGGCCATAGGCATCAATCATGGAAGAGTAAGTGACATCATCAGGATGACACTCATATGTAGGCATTTTCTCAAACCACTCAACAGCCTTATTGGGCAAACCACAGACCCTGGAACAACTAATCAGCGTGTGATTTTATTGGAGAGCATAAGAATGGGGATAAAGCTTATCTTGGCATTTCAAAGTGGATGGCTGTAGCTGGGATTCCAAAACCATGCCCACTTCTTCTTCTTCTTCCCCTTACACACTCTATTAGTAAAAATTATGTAAGACTTATATGTGTGTTCGATACGTGTTAACATGTATATAAGATATTTATATGTTATACCCCACTCTATTAATTTTTTCAAAGGAATATTAAATTTTATTTATTTTATTCTGTATTTCATTCAATTTGAGGATTCTTCATATATTTTACTTCCCGTTTACGAATTCATCCTCATTTTTCAGCTACAAAAGCAAGAATTTCTTCACTCAATAACATTCTCTCTCTTTTCTCTACAAGCAGCCTTAGTTTCTTTCTCGTCTCGCTTTTTGGTAGTGTTACTCCAATAAAAAAATAAATTAAATTAAATTATTTCTTTACTTTGAAAAGATCAACACGTTAAAAGTTTTACTTTCTTATTTCAAGTATACGAAATTTGAAATATTGTATTAAACTCGAAGAATAATGTACAACTTTTAAAATACTATTATCGAGAATGTTTTAAGTTACACGACATGATAAATTACTCGATCTTTCTTTTATTAATTTATTTACTTGCTCTAGTCAGTATTAGTATCCTGTCTTACGATAAGTTATATTTTAATACTCTCAATAAAAAAATACTCCTTCTGCATAATAAAAAAAATTTAAAATTTTTAAGTATTTATCATTTAAATAAATAATTGTGACATCAAATTTCGAATTTAAATCCAAGAAAACATAAGAAACGTGTACAAGTTGTAAAATCTATGAATAATAATAATATAGCTGTATCTTGATCCTTGCTTAGCAGTTAATTGAAAGATTGATGAAAAGAAAGGAAGAAAATCATATTGATAAGGTTTTATTAACACCACAAAACAAGTACCAAGTCATCTCCTGGTCACCCTTATTCAAATTATTTTAAAATATTCAAATATTAAATACATATATATATTAAATATGATTATATTAATAAATTTAATATTAAAATTATTAAAATAAACCCTAAACACTATTATGAATAAGTATATTTGATTTGAGTAGTTAAGCTCTTTATCTTTGTTCTCTCGAATTTCTTTATGTTATGAGTTTCAGATGGAATTTAACTTGAAACTGATGGATTCTAACCCGATCCTATTTGATAGGGTCAGATTTTTTTAAAAAAATTGGGTTCGGATCGTGTCGGATATTTTAAGAGAGTGAGGCGGGGTCGGGTTGGATTCGGTTGATGGGTGAAAAAACTCTAATCTTACCCTACCTTAGAGTAATAGTGACATTTCTTTAAATAAATTTATGGATAATTACTATAATGCCCCCTCTATTTATTGTTATTTTGAATTAAGTTCTTTTTTATACTAGATCGGTCAAATTTATTCTCTAAAAATATGGATAGGACCAAAGTCAGGTGGATGATATATATTTTTTGGGTTGAATCAAATTCAGATAAATGATATATATTTTTCTAGTTAGGTTGACCAAAATTCCGATCTAACCTCACCAGGTCATCCTTATTTAGACCCATTATGAATAATTCTCTTTCTTCTCCTAAAATCTTTCTTTCTCTCTCTCTCTAGGATTAAAATTAGGTTTAAATTTATAATAAAAAAACACACACACGATTCACATTTTCATGTCTTACTGAAATTAGATTATGATATTAAATTTAAACAAATTAAAATGAATAATATTGGTGAATTAAAATTACACCCGGGAAAAGATAATTGAATGAGAAGGTGAGAGAGCAAAAGGACATATGTATCCCGTGCATTAAACAAGTCCACGTCAATTTCCAAGTCGTTCAAAGCCTTTTATATGCTCATAAACGTGCAGCAAGTAGAGAGTAATCTGAGAATGATGGCAATGCAATCGTTCACTCCGCACATTACTTTCTTCATCCCCATAATTATGTTAATGCTTTTGATCATTAAAATTTTAAAATAACTAATATATTTATGAAACGAGTTTATTATATTTTTATAATATTACAGCAATTATATTATAATACTTCAGTAATTTTAATAACTATTTTTTTACTTTTAAAGTTTAAGTATAATTTAATGATCTTTAATATAGTTAGTGACGGGTTTAGAAATTTATAAATGAGGGTTCAAAAATTTTAATATTATTTTTTCAACACAATGGGTATGCAAAAAAAAAAACTTCTCCCCTAAATATATTAAGCTATATTTTCTAACAAATCTAAAATAATAGATATGCATTTGGTCTCTTATAGTGCTATATGCATCCGCCCCGAGTATATGATATTATGATAGTGGATAATAGCAAGTAAACTCTCTAAGTATTTCTTTTTCATTCGCGATACTAGAACCAAAACATTTATGGGGAAATCGAACTTCCTATTAGCGATTAAGCCAAACTAAAGTTTTTAATTCTATATTAATATGATCATTAATCTTTAAAAAAAAAGATTGAAGTGGGGCTAAAATGAAATTAGAGCATTTAATATATAGAAAGTATGGAATAAGAAGCATTGAATGCAGAGGCCTACATGTTTTTGAAATAGAAATAACATGTAATGGGGCTAGGTGAAAATGTGGTGTGGTGACTCTGAAAGTAAGAGAACAAGTTGGCTTTAACCACATTTCACAAGGCCACTGTGTAGGGTGTACCACACGGTTCCCATATGAGCAGCCCTACTACTCACCCACACTGCACCAGCAGCACTAGTAGTACTACTCACTCACTCTGCAGCTCCCACTGATTCAGATCAGATCCTACTTGATTTTCATTTCAGAACCAACACTGTTAAATTATTACTACCACTTGGGAGCGTCTTTGAATTCTGATTATTTGGCTTCATTTGTTTGCAGCCTCCTGGTGGTGTTGAAGGTCGGTAGGCATGTGCTCTATTCCTGCAGAAACAAATCAATGTTCATCGTTCTATTCTTTTTACTCTATTCCAATCTAAATATTCCAATATATATATTTCCAACTTCAACCTTAGCTTGTTCTGCAACCATTTAATGTAACATTCAGGGTTTCAAGTTCCTTTAAATGGTACAACTGATGTCTTGGTCCCTTTTGATTATAAATAATTCTATTTATTTTTTAAAATGAAAAAATTTAGCTTTAATCCTACGCACTCTTCTACTTTTGTTTCGGCTCCCAGCATCAAAGTACTCAATTTGCCCTTGTGTGTATATATTATTAGATTATATACAATTTACAAGGTGAAAGTACGTCGTCTTCAAGTGTCTTTGAAGAACAAACACAAGTCCAAGGACAAGGCTATTGAGCAAACGTGTGACACAATAAACATAACTTTGAAGTTGATAATTGGAAATGTGTGATTTAATGATAGGCGTAGAGTCGGTGAAAATAGACGTGGGAAATGATCAAGTTATAGTAACAGGAACCGTATATCCCACAAAGTAGACCCAGTACGTATACAAGAAAACCCGAAAGCAAGCAACCATAGTTAAAGGCGAAGAGAAAAAGGAACAAGAGACAGTAGAAAGGAATATGACATAAAGAGAAACGAATGTTTTATTTTCCCATCCAAATATTACTCGGACTTGAATATCCTTCCCAATTTTCCAGTAACGAGAATCCCAATGCTTGCTCTCTTATGCAATTATTTTTACGTATTTTCCGTGCAATTAGTATATCTACTTTGTAATAACATCTTCAGCCACAAGTGAGTGCTTAATTTTGACATAATGATGTGTAATTATAGGTCTTGTTACAAACCATCTGTAGTTGTTGAACGATTTTATGTACAGTTAGCTGCTAGTTATACTAAACATTTTGGTAAATTTATGATTTTGATCCCTCTATGATGTTCTAATAGAAAGTAGTCCAAGATACTTCAATATTATAATCAGTAATATTAATTAATGACATTATGCAAGTAAAGAGATCAAATCATGTCAAATTAAAGTATAAAGATGAGCGCAATGGAATCTTCAAATTTCAGGGGACCCGAATACTTACATATAAAGCAAGGAAACAAGATCAGAATGTTTAGAAGTTTCCAAATGGCGATTCCTTCCTAGGCCATAGTTAAAATGTCCACTACGGCACAACATCTATACTCACCGATAAATTATATCAACCACAATCATGTGATCACCAGACTACAGGATTCGATAGAGGGACACCCATCTAATACTACCGCTGCACGGGTTTGTACAGCACCACAGTAACATACTTGGCCCGAAATCGATGAGTCGAACCGAGTGCTACCACGGGCTGGCCGTTCTTCCCCTTTTGAATATACAGATGATTGAGGATTACATGCTTTGGTCTTGACAGAGGAGGTGGTATCTCCATGTGAGATGTAGGCAGATTGAGGAGTGGCAGTTGTAGGTGCGGAGGAACGAGCTGTGGTTCCTTAGCAAAATCTTCAGCTCCGAGCGGCAAGTTACTGTAGCTTGAGTCGGGGGACTGAGGGGGTTCAAAACTAGATATACTCCCGATATCTTCTGGAACATAATCCTGCAGGGTGTTTTTTCACAATTAGCATTTCTATTTAGAAAGTCAAGGAAATGAAGGGAAGGCAAAAGAAGACAAAATGCAAGCAAGAATGCATATTAATGCTCAAGTGAATCAGGAGTGACGATCATACATCAACATTTACCATTTTCATATGGGGTTGATTATAGCAACAAAATAGAACATACAGAAACTGAATGTTATAGCTGAGTGTGAGTTGGTGCTTTTGATCACACTTGGAGCAGAATGCTTTGATGCTTTTGCTTAGCAATATATGGATCTCAATCATCACAATGATGCCAGCTTGATAAGCACAAGTATCCATGGATGTCAAGGAATGAATTTATCTCAAGATGAGATCATAAGACCGATAGCTCAACACAAAAGTTTTCCAAAAAATGGAATTCACCTCATAAGGACAAGAGAGAATATGTTCATGGAATGTGCTCGTATCCCACGTAAACAAATAGTGGGGAATCCTAAAACTGCAAATACCAAACTCAATACAAGATAAAGACAAGAATTTACCTGCAAGTCCAAAACATTGTTAGCATTGCCAACACCATCTTGAACCCATGGCAAGTCAGGTGAATACCTCCACTGTCCATCAACAATGAACCTATACTGGTAGACACCTGATGGTAACACTTTCATAATAGTGAAGTCTTTTCCACATCTCTGCAAAGGAATTCTGATAAAGACCGCAAATAAGTCAAATGTCAGACCAGCAATAGCAGTTCATAAAGAGCTAACTATTTTCCTTCATAAAAATAAAACTGTAAAAGGCAGGGAATATCAGGAACCTTGTCTTCCAGTTATCCCATGATCCCTCAACAGCAACTTCTTTGCCACCGTAGTTCCATGTAATCATTGTTGGAATTCCCTTCTCGGGGAAGCCATCCTCATATCCTATTGTACTATGCAACCATGACGGGCTTGATGTGTGCATCTCATCAGGTCTCTGTAAAGGAAGAACTGGAACCTGGGATGAAAGAAGGCACGGTGGATAAAACTGGCAGCTTTTACAGAGAAATAGATACATGTTACTATACTAGCATACTAGAAAACTAAGAAAATATAACATATTTGAGAAATCTGTCTATGTAAAGTATGATGGGCTTAGGCTTGAAGAGATTTACGGCAGGACTTGGATTATAAAGAGAAAAAATGTTTTAGGATTTAGGGATAGGGAAAGAAAAGGGAAAATGGGCAAAAGTGTGTCTCTTGAATTCGGAAAAAGAGGTGTCCCTAGCAAAGAAATGTGGGATTATTACATATGAAAATGGTAGGAAGGCTATGACCTGACCTGTTTAAAGGGATTAATAAGAATTAAAAGCGAAACTAAATTGAAAACCAAGAGAATCATCTAAACTCTAAGCTAAATCGTTCAAAAGTCAGTAATTTGCAGATATTGCAATAAACTACATATTGCCCACTATTACCCACATGGGGGGGGGGGGTCGAATGACAGGAAAAGTATTCATTAGGTAAAGTGGGCTTCGGTTTGCAGACCGAAGGAATTGGGTGGTTTGGGAATAGCAAATTTAGATCTTATGAATAGAGCTCTTTTGGGGAAGTAGATGTGGAAGTTCATTTCTGAGAAAGAGTCGATGTGGAAAAGGGTTATATGCTATGTCAACAATCTTGACCTGAAATCCTTTGTGGTTGATAAATTGATTCCTCTAGAGCTTCTTGGATACGGAAAGGGATAGTTAAGAATTGTTTTTCGTGTGATGATTTTGGTGTTTGTTTTAAGGGCAATACTCACATTAGGGTCGGCAATGGTGAATCAATTTTGTTTTGGCATGATGAGTGGTTAGATGGAGTGCCCTTGAAAAATCAATTTCCAAGATTGTTTATCCTCTCGACTAACAAAGAAGGGAGGATAGCTGACTTTAGGATAAGAAGCTCTTCTGGTTGGATTTGGGATATCCAGATGAGGAGAAACTTGGCAGATTGATAGATGGAGCAGTGGCTTCAATTTTATTCGTTGTTATGCAATTTTCACTCCTCGGAGTTGATTGATGATAATTATGTTTGGTCTGGACAAGGAGATGGTTGTTTCTCGGTGAAATCATGCATGAGGCTTATGTTTGATAGGTCTGAAGTTAATTTTTTATGGTCTAAATATGTGTGGCTTGGCATTGCCCCTCCTCGGGTGGAGTCTTTCGTGTGGCAACTGGTTCACAAAAAGGTGGCAGTAAAAGTCGAATTAGTTAAGCGTGGTGTATTGGGGATTGAGGATCAATCGTGTCCCTTGTATGGCACTTATCCAGAATCTGTTTCTCATCTTTTTGTTTCCTGCAATGTCTCTTGGGGTCTTTGGACGAGTTTTATGAGTATGTGGAATATCTCTTTCGCTATCCCCGAGAGTCCGACTAATTTACTCTCGCCTTGGTTTGGTTTGATCTCAAATTCGTCTATATGGATCTTTATCACTGGAGCAATCTTGTGGTCGGTTTGGAAGCAAAGAAACGAAAATGTTTTTAATAAAGGGAATCTTGATCGAGTTCAGCTCTTTTTCCCTGGTAAGATACAGAGTGACAACATGTTTTTCTTCAAAGTTTCAAAATCATTTGACCCTTTTTGACAGTTTAGTGGGCGATCTTTCGATAGCATATTCCTACCAGTGTTAAAAAAAGGTTTATTCTGTTCGTGAAGGCTGGTGTCCTCCTCCGCCAAGTTTTTTTAAGGTAAACGTGGATGGTGTTATGGATAGTCATTGACAGAAGGGTGGCATAGGTGGTTTGCTTCGGGACGAAAAGGTTGTAATGTTGGATTCGTTTTTTGAGAAAGTTGGATCTGGTCCTCCAATTTTGGCAGAACTGCTGGCTATTAAGAGGGGTTTGCAACTATTTTCGGAATCAAAGTGGGCATCAAGGGAAGGCTAATTTTAGAGTCTGACTGTTTAGTTGCCTTAGACTGGTGAATGACATTTCTAATATTGTGTCAAATAGGGGTGTGGTCATTAGGCATATAAAGAGAGTTTCCAACTACAAGGCAGACAAGTTTGCTAAATTGGGGATTGGTTAGTTCAAACGAGGTTGCAAACTTCAAGGATTGGTTAGTTGTTATGTACTGGGTTGTTTTGTTGTTCGGTGGTAGGTGATGTTTGGATGTATTTTGGTCTTTTGTACTCTTGTTGTATATGGTTTTTAGTAATAAAATTTATGGCACTCTTTTCCTTCTTCCAATGTCCGTTGAGTTACCTTCGTAGCTTGACGGTTACGAAGGGTTTTTTTAACAAGGCCATTTTTTCTATCAAAAAACCGACATGTTAAAACTGCATAAACTGCTAACAAAGTCTGCATCAAAGATAACCTATAGATTAGGTTAGTTTTATCCATAATGCAACCTCGAGGTTTAATGTTACAGCAGGAAAAATCATCCGGCGCGCATCATGCAGAACCCTACCATTTTCTGCACCAGAGAGCATAGACAGTAATATAGACAAAATCCATTCGGTATGCATCAATTTTATGGCCAATCACATTATAAACATGCAATTTTCACACAAGAAGTTCTCTCTCTACCTGAGGGCCTTTGAATACTAAAAAATTCTTGCAAAGGATATATGAAACAAGCAATTATAACAACCCAAAAGCATCTCTTTAAATTGAAAAAAGCAAAGGGATCACACTAAGACTTCACCAAAATTGCAATTCACAAACCCACACACAAAAGACCGAACATGGAACTTATCAAGGAGCCACCAAAGATCCACTCTTCGATTGAGAGGAACCATGCGGCAAACACTAAGTCAAATACTCAGAGTATAAATAATCTAAACACTTAGTTTACCTGAAAACCACAGATCAAAATTTATACTCATATTATAATTTAAGAGCTTTGATTCATTGTTTACATGGAAATCTTGAAATCCTTTAAACTATGGAACATTGATCAAACCATAAGTTCTATAAGTCTAAAGTTTTGGCTTTTAACTCTGTTTACATTGTTTTTAATGAAAATTAGCAATATTTGTTAAAAAAATCATTAATTAGTTTACCTCATAATAACTTAGCATTAAACAAATAAGTAATACCATAGATCCATAAAAAACTAATTAAAATTCAACTTTCATAACCATTGTTTTTACCTTAATTTTGTGCATAGAACATATATACATGATATGAAGAAGACAGAATCCCATGCAACAAAACCAAATCACGTTCCATGAAATCCAAATTCCCCAAAAAAAAAAAAGTACCTGAGGAGTAAACATGAGAGGTGAGTGGGTGGATGTAGGACTGTGAGGGGGTGAGTGACCCATGGGTGCAGCCAAAGCTTCGAGAATACTGTTACCCTTTTCTTCTTCTTCAAACCCAGATGGACTGTTACTCCCATCTTCTCTTCCATTCACATTCCCCATTTTTTCTCTAAGTTATTAAAACTAATTATTGTCTCTTTATTGATGATCAATTTATCACCTTTTCTTTTTGTATTATATAATTAACAAGGCAAATTAGAGAAAACCCAAACTCCCACCACTCACAGAATCTCACAATTGATTCATAATTCCCCTATTATAACAGATGCCCATAATTTAAAAAAAAAGAAGAGGAAAAACCCAGATGCAGAAATCGGATTTTTTTTAAAGAAGAGAGAGAAAATTAAGAGAATTATGCGATGAGTTAGGAGTGTCGATGAAGTAGTGAGGGGGATCTGGAATGGGGGATGAATGGATGAATGTCACGTCATCGTTTGACAAAGTCTTTTGATTCTCGGTTGGTTTTTGTTTTGGTTTTGAGGTTTTAGGGCTATAAAACTATGAGCTTTCCCCCCTTCTTCTGTCCCTCTGTAATGCCTAATGCCTGGCTTACCCTTTCCCCTTCACTTTTCAGCTCTGCTTTATATAATATCTGTTCTTACTTTTATTAAAAAAAAAACAAAAGAAAGTATTTAACAATAATTATTAAAATTATTACACTTTTCTTAAATATAAATCAACCCTTTACATTTTCCATCTTTATTATAAAAATGTTAAAATAAATTATTCTTCATTTAATTATTAGATATATGCAAATAAATATATATATATTTAAAAATGATTATGTGATCTTATTTAAAAAACAACTTCATGAAATTTAGCATTTTTTTATAAAGGAAATTCAGCTATTGTTTATATTATGTTTATGCAAAAGACTTGTCATCATTGTGAATTCGATAAAACATGTTCGAATATATCTCATATTATTAAATTCAGAATAAATATACGATAAGATTCATATATGATAATTAGGAATAGTAAAACTCACAAAATATCGATATGAACACCAGTAAGGCAATGCAACAAATGGTAGCCCAGTTTAATGGAGTGGTCCGTAAGTGGCGAAGCAATTAGGTGGAAAGTAATCCAATCCGAGCCCGCGTGTGGTACCGTACTGCTAATTACTACAACGCAGGGTTAGTAATAAAGTCGGTGATGCAAAATTTTCTTTGGGGAAATATATCAAACACATTGATGGACATACCCGAATCGACATTGGCTGTATTCGGTGACATGGGGAGGAAAGCCCATCTCTCTTATTCATAAAAGCAACATACTAAATGATTATTTTCCTTTACTGTCATAGAAGCACATCAGTCATAATTTGTTTCCTTATGCATTTTCAACAACCATTCTTCATTTGGTACTCTGCTTCGGTTTCTTGTTTCTTCTCATCAATGAGAGAGGCTTTAGATCGATGTTTATGGGGTGTAATGGTAAGGAATTTATTGTTTTTAAATCTTATTTTGTGTATCGACAAAATAATAATGCAAGTTTCCTCTTGTGGAAATGCATCATTTGGAAACAACAATAGCAGAGTATAGAATCTGAATGTACTATCCTTTATTGAACTGAAATACTCTATTTATACAAGAGTTTACAACAAACTTATGTAACCGTGTAACTTCACACAACTAATATAAAAGCTTCCTACAACTAACCACTCATCAACTACTAACTGCATCATTCAACATTCTCCCTACTTTTTCTTCTTCTTCCCAAAGGAAAGGCTGCACATTCACCTTGGCTTTAAACACCTCAAACCGAGCAGCTGCTAGTGGCTTTGTGAAACCATCTGCAACTTGGTAACTTCCTGGCACATAGTTCACCAACACTTGCTTCAACGCTACCTTCTCACGAACAAAGTGAACATCGAGTTCAAAATGTTTACTCTTCTCATGATAAACTGGATTTGCTGTCATGGCTACAGCACTACTGTTATCACACCAAACTATAGGAGTTTTCTGCCTTGTAACACCCAAATCATTTAGAAGAGTATTCACCCACGTTGTTTCAGCAGTAACATCTGCTACACTTCTGTACTCAGCTTCCATAGTAGACCTGGAAACAGATTTTTGTTTCTTAGAGTTCCACATCACGAGATTGTCACCAACAAATACACAGTAACCTGAGACAAACTTGCGATCATCAGCACTTGCAGCCCAGTCAGCATCAGCAAAGGCAACTACATTGAACCCTGCTATTTCAGGTGCTATGACCAGGCCATGGTTAATTGTTCCCACCAAGTACCTCAAGATTCTTTTAACAGGAACAAGATGCTCTTGCTTTGGAGCATGCATATATTGTACTGCCTTGTTGACGCTGAAGGTTATGTCCGGGCGTGTGTGACACACATATAATAACACACCTACAACGCTCCGATATTCATATGCATCTTGAAGCAGTACCCCGGCGTCATGACTCAACTTGGCAGATGTAAGCATTGGTGTAGCAGCAGGATTAGCAGTGCTCATCTTGGTCTTCATTAGCAATTCAAGGATAAACTTCCTTTGGCTGAGAATTAACGAGCTACCACAACGTTTAATTTCTATACCCAAGAAGTAATGTAATTCACCAAGGTCTTTTAGTGCAATTTCCCTGCCAAGAAATTTCACAACTTCTTCAATCTGTACAACCGAACTCCCAGTCAGCACTATATCATCGACGTATACGAGTAAGTAAACACAGTATCCCCCTTCCCAGCGAATAAATAGAGAGGTGTCTGCTGAAGATTCTTTGAAACCAAACTTAAGTAGAGAATTTTTCAGTTTGTCGTGCCTGTAACATCCCAAACTATGGGTTAGTGACTTAATTGTAAAGTTTCAGAATTTGATGATTTAAGTAGAAGAATGGATTAGTTCAATGATTTATCTGGAAATAAATCCTAAAAGTTGTTAGTAATTATTAAAGGAATTAAAGGGCAAAATGTTCTTTTTATCTAAAAGATAATTATCTTATCTCTTTATTAAGAGATAAGCATGTAGGGAGATAATTCTCCAGAAACTCTCTTATCTTCTTCTTCCTCTCCTCCCGTATCTCTAAGCTCAAAGGTGAGTCTTCTACTTAGTTAATTTCTGGTTAAATTTAAGGTTGGGTTTTGATCATTAGATGATAACTAAGCTTAGGGAAAGCTTAAGTTATCTTAAGATTGAAAGATAAAGAAGTTATGAAAGATTAAAGAGAATGTGTTTCTAAATGAATTTCTAGAAAGAGTTGATAAAGGAATTTGACTTGTTATCAATCCAATTAAGACATACAAAGTAATATAATTGGATTTGAAACATGTTGCAAAATTGATGTAATTATTGAATTACATATGAAAGATAGGACTTTGAGGTTTAAGATGAAATAAATGAGTATAGATTGGTTTAAGTATGTGTACTAGAGTTAAGAATGAAAAAGGGGATGAAACATGAAGGTTTTAATCCAAAATAAATGAATTTTCGGGTTCAAAAAGAGGATTCTGGGCAGAGTGCATCGATATACATTCATAGTGCATCGATGCATCAAGGTTAAAACCCATAAATTGTTTGAAGGTGTATCGATGCACAGGTAATGCATCGATGCACTCTTTTAAAATAAAAACATCGAATGCAATTAGTGCATCGATGCATCCCAATAATAATACAACATCGAATGCATTTTATGCACCGATGCATCAGTAGTGCATCGATGCATACCTTCATTAAAAGATGAAATTGCTCTCTTAGTCTAAAGAGTGAACCATTAGAATATATTAGTTATAATACTGATATAAATCCATGTGTGATTATGTAGATACTAAACGTAAGCTTGTTCCGGAACAATCGAAGGATTAGAATCGAATCAAAGCAAAGCTAAGGTGAGTGCAATTTAATTTGTAATTATGTTATCGAATAAACATTGGCTTGCTATGAGCCAGTGATGGAGTTACTATGGTAGGAAGTGACTCCTAACATATTATTTGATTTGTGATTGATGTAATTTTTACGTGTGCATGATTACATGTATATGCGCTATGTGGTATTGACATAAGTGACTATAGGATCACGAACTATGTAGAATAGCAAGGACTTATGTGATAACAAGAGAAAATGATATAAACTAGGTGGAATAGATATAAATGATAAGTTAAACGACATGGACATATGTGATTATGAACATGTGATATAAGGTATAAGCTAAAGAATTATATATGAGATAAGACAGATATATGTGGTTATAAGAAACATGATATGAAAAATATGAGAAAAGGAAATTGTAATATGTGATACATGTGATATGTTATGAAATATATGGTTACACATACATGTGGTATGTGATAGAAGAGAAAGAACAAGTGATATGAAATGGTATAGATGATAATGCCCATGTTATGTGATATGAGAGCTAGGGGTATAGTTGACATGCCAAGAGTCGAGGGTTTACCTATGTTCTACGGAACATATGGACAGTTTACCTAGGTTCTTTGGGACCTATGGACAGTTGCTGAGGTTCTTTATGACCTCTGGATAGTTACCGGGGTCTTTGTGACCTATGGATAGGTCCTTCGGGACATTTATATGAGCTGTGGTGACAGCATAGTGGTGCACAACCTCAATAGACTCACATATCTACAGTTCTCACAGGTGCACATGGGCTAATAAGAGATAACATTGAATGTAATGTATGTGATGTATATATGTGTTTTGTGATATGAATTATATGATATGAACTTAATTGATCATATAAATAAGAGAATATAAATATGAAAGGTGCATAGTAGGAATTATTATATGTATATGTGGGTGGGATGATTGTATGTGATATGTTAGTAGAAATTGTTCAAGCATGATTACAAGTTGGAGTTTTATTATATGTTTTATGCCTCACTAAGTCATCGACTTAGCGTGTGATTGTTTCACACGTAGATTCGAGAAGAATATAGAGAGCAATGTGGAGCAAGACAAGTCAGTATCTCCTTTACAAAGTTCATATCAGAAAATATATGTATTTGGCATGTAAATAAATATTTGAATTCGATATACTCAAATTGGTTTTGTAAAATCATATGATACTAATTTATGTAAATTAGTCAATTGTATTTAGTAAAAGTTTTAAAATTATTCATTATTTTGTTCAAGTAAAGGTTTTGAAAAATCAATGTAACACCTCGGACTTGTATTCGGGTCAGGTACGTGTTGAGGGTGTTACAGTGCCAATTCCGAGGGGCTTGGCGTAAACCATACAAGGCCTTCTCTAATCTGCACACCAAGGGACTACCGTCAGGTGCCACTTGCTCGAAGCCTGGTGGCTGCTGCGTGAAAACCTCTTCATGCAATTCACCATACAGAAATACGTTGTTCACATCAACCTGGCATAATTGCCAGCCATTGGTAACAACTATTGAAAGTACCACATTCAATGTCGTAAATCGAATAACTGGACTAAACGTTTCTCCAAAATCGTGTCCTGGTATTTGAGAGAAACCTTTAGCCACTAACCTTGCTTTATATCTACTAACAGAGCCATCTGGGTTCTTTTTCACTTTGAACAACCACTTGCACCCCACAACCGAGCAACCTTCAGGTAATTTTACTAATGACCA